AGAACCAGTGATGGGGGGAAATGAGGGTCCCCTGCCCAGGCCTGACACCTCTGTCAGAGGCGTCAGGCCTGGGCAAGTCAGAGGTGTCAGGATTGGAGGGTGATAGGGGTCAACGCCTGAGGGCTCCCAGTATGTGAGAGGGGGCAGGCTGGGCTGAGGGACACCCCCCCCGCCGCCACACACACACACCCAGTGCACGAATTTTGTGCACCGGGCCCCTAGTATAAATAAAGCCAAAAAAGTATGACAGAAAATATGGGCCTTCTACTCCTGATCTATCTGAAACTGTTATAATTCTAATTTACACTTAATATACCAACCTCCCACTATAAAAGGCAGTAATAAAATGATCATTTAAGAAAGGATTCTGTGAATAATGTTTGCTTAATGTTAAATATGGCATCGCCATCTCCTGTGATTCATGACCCCACCCCCAACCCTAGTTCAGCTTTCATTGGTAAAAACTGGTCCACCTGTTCTCTATAAAATGCAGGTATAAGGATAACTATTCCAACTTCTACATAAATCCATTTTGAAAAAAACTGGGAGGACATATCAAATTCATTCAACAAAGGGAATAAAAACTGGGTCTTCTCCCACCATTCTAACACTCACATGCCCTTCCCACAAAGGAATGTTCAGATCTCTCAAGCTGCTTCCTCAACTACAAATGTCCTATGTCAGCCGTGGGCAAACTACAGCCCGCGGGCCGTTTGAAATAAAACTAAAAAAAAAAAGACCGTACCCTTTTATGTAATGATGTTTACTTTGAATTTATGTTAATTCACACAAACACCCCATCCATGCTTTTGTTCCGGCCCTCGGTCCAGTTTAAGAACCCACTGTGGCCCTCGAGTCAAAAAGTTTGCCCACCCCTGTCCTACGTGCTAATGCTCCTAAATTTACTAAATAAATAAATAAATAGTTTAAAATGATTCCAAAGTAAAACATACTCCAGAACAATTTAGACAAGTCTAATGTTGAGTGGCATTTTCCAACCTAGGTTGAAGACCCCATTTCCAAAAGTAGCAAACCAAAAACATACCTCCTCATAGAGTGTATTTAAAAAAAAAAAAAAAAAAAAAAAAAGCAGAGAGAGGTCATTCATTTCCTTGCTATAACTGTTAAGAAATAAAAGCAGCACCTAAAGTAGCTAACCTCATTTAGTAACTCTGAAATACCCAAAATAAAGGCCAATCTCTGAATACGTATCAGTCCACCAAGGATTATACTGTAAAACCTGTTCAACTGCCTCATCTTCAAATAAGTCGGCTCTGGGGAAAAACAATGAACGTTAGATGGGCTTGCTATACAGACTTTGGCTGGGTTTGATGTTTTCTAATTTATAACTCATTTCTTTGCACTAGAAATACCGATCAATTCAGAGTACATTTCAAAGAAAAACGAGCACTACATTTAATTTACTTTAGTAATCATCATAAAACGAAAAGTAAGCAACTAACTAAAAGGATAGTTGATATTTATTATCTCTTACATGAGAGGTACACAAAAGACCAGTCTTGCCCTAAGGCAGCGGTTCTCAACCTGTGGGTCGCGACCCCTTTGGCGGTCGAATGACCCTTTCACAGGGGTCGCCTAAGATGATCCTGCATATCAGATATTTACATTACGATTCATAACAGTAGCAACGAAAATAATTTTATGGTTGGGTCACAACATGAGGAACTGTATTTAAAGGGCCAGAAGGTTGAGAACCACTGCCCTAAGGGCCCGTCGCCTGCACTACAGTGGTGTGGGATGACGGGAAACCCAACACACAAGGGACTGAAACCTAGCACTTGTCCTATATTTGCAAATATCACAGATTCTGGTAAAATTACAACAAAGAAAAGAATCTTTTAACTCCACCAACAAAGAAAAATAAACACTTGAGTAGAAAATTTAGGATACTGAATATCCACACAGGCTACACACGTCACCATTTAGTTTGTGCACTCACATTTTCTACCAACACACAATCTATTTTATTTAGCTATGCTAATCCTAATAGGTCCTTAAATTAAAACTACTGAAAAAGATAAAAATAATCTTTGTTGAGACCAGAAAAATACTTTTCCTTCACTTCACTTTCTTAGTTTTAACTGGAAAAGTAACTGCTATATTTGTAATAGCAGGACACTTGTTCAGAAAATATGCCTCATTTAAGTTGGAAAATGGTATTCTTGGGGTAACAATGAGAAAAAGTATACTAGTGAAAAATTCATTTATATTTTAGTTAATTTGAAACTCAAGGGATTGAGGTTTTGATAAATTGGATTTTCTAGCTGATAGTTTTATGACCTTAAATACATTTTTCATTCAAGTGAGATACTGAAATCTTTTTAAAATTAGAAACATCACAAATAACAAATTCTTCATATGCACTAAGTACTGTACTAAGGACTTCTCATTCATTATTTTTTTGAATCTTCAGACAATCCCCATGAGCAGGGGATACTCCCTGCCCATTTTACATGGGTGAAACCTGACGCTCAGAAAAGTTGTACATCATGGCTACAGTCAAAAAACCAGTAAGCCGTGTGGCCTGAATTTGGACCTACTTAAGTTTTACTCCAGGATCCAAGCTAGCAATCAAAATATGTGTTCTATCTTTATGCTTAAGAAAATAAAGTACATATTGAACAAAACTGAATAGCAATGATCTTGAAACAATAATTCTCAATATCAATTTTCAGGCACACATTTGAGACTATGATGAAGAAGTTGCTTTATAAACTAATCCTGTTAAGAGTCTCTTATTAGCCATCTGTGAGAGAACAAGGCCTCCTCTACTAGGAGCTGTACCCCCGTGGACACCAGGTATTAAATGGAGAAGACATGCGAAGTCATAGGCTGTAGGAGAGTCTTTATTGCAGACCAAGTAGCCATTGCTACCAAGGAGCCATCAGACAAAACAGTTCTTCAAATTAGTCTCACAAAGCAGCTGCAGCAAACAGCCTTGCTAATCCAATAGCAAACACAGGAGCCCTTGTAAACATAGTAGCCATTCCCAACAGAGCAGCCCAACCAAGCAGCCAGGCACCGTTGCTCAGAAATATAGTTTATACCAACTCAGACAAAAGAGGCTTCTCACCAAACAGTAACATCAATATTTGGGCTATGGAAAGGCACACCTGCGCAGTGCGTACAGTAAGATTGTTGAGTCCTTGCTTCTGTATGTGGCAAACTGGCCTTGAACATCCAGTGTACTCTGATTAGGGTTCCCACACCATCTCTCTCTCTTTTTTTAATTAATTTTTTTATTGTTAAGACTATTATAGTTGTTTCTCTTTTTTTCCCCATAGCTTCCCTCCACCCAGTTTTTAAATAAATCTTTATTGTTCAGATTATTACAGTTGTTCCTCCCCCACATAGTTCCCTTCCACCCAGTTCTCACCCCACCTCTGCCCTTCCCCTCCCACTGTCCTCATCCATAGGTGTATGTTTTTTGTCCAGAAGCTCCCCACCCCTTCCCCCATGAGAACTGTCAGTCCACTCCCTTTCTATGCCCCTGATTCTGTTATATTCACCAGTTTATTCTGTTCATCAGATTATTTATTCACTTGATTTTTAGATTCACTTGTTGACAGATATTTGTTGTTCATAATTTTTATCTTTTCCTCCTCCTCCTCCTCCTCCTTCTTAAAGGATACCTTTAAGCATTTCATATAGTACTGGTTTGGTGGTGATGAACTCCTTTAGCTTTTTCTTCTCTGTGAAGCTCTTTATCTGATCTTCAATTCTAAATGATAGCTTTGCTAGGTAGAGTAATCTTGGTTGTAGGTTCTTGCTATTCACCACTTTGAATATTTCTTGCCACTCTCTTCTGGTCTGCATAGTTTCTGTTGAGAAATCAGCTGATAGTCATATGGGTACTCCCTTGTAGGTAACTGACTTTTTTCTCCTGCTGCTTTTCAG